AGTCCTCTCCCTTGGCGGGGGGGTTGGGGGGGGGGGGTGTCAGCTTGGCTTTAATTAGGGTCTTGCACCCGCTCAGCACTTCTTATCGCAGGGTCTGGACGGTCTCGTGTTATAAATACGCTGCTTCTGGCTGCGGGGAGACCGTGATGGGGCAGGTGGGTCCCTGCGCTGAACTGGGACGTCAGTAAGACCAGCCAGGAGGAGAAATGGCACGTAAGGAGGGTGCACAAGACTGACTACAACAGCTGGCAGAAAAATAAGGAGAAAAGGGTTTTCCATGTTGCAGCCCTTAGTGGCGGGTGCGAGAAAAAAAGAAGAGTCTTTTTGGGGTTGGCTTCCCCAGAGGACCCAGCGGTGTCCAACCCCCAGCGCCAGGGCTGACACAAGGCAGGGCTCGGTGCCTGGGGAAAGCCAGAAGCCTGGATCCTGCTTCGGGGACAACGGGGACTCTTGGGAGCTTGACTGGGCTCCCATGAAGTTTCCCCAAAGTCCACAGCTTGGGAATGTCCTCCAGAGCTTTCTGGACGGGCTGCAGGAAACGTTAGCACGCCGCTGACCCTTCTCCCCCTGTTCCCCCTTTTTTCCCAGCCCAACTAGACCTAAAGCACTGAAAATAGGATTATTCCCCTCTGAGGGGGACTGAAAGGATGCTCAGGTGGTGGCTGGATGGTGCTGGGGACCTCAAACCAGGGGTGCAGTGCAACGAGTGGGCAAACCTCACTCAATATTTTATTCACTGCAGTGTAGGATGCCTACAGATCCAAAGGGATTACGGATCCCATCTTACCCGCACGGCTTTAGGAGAGGGATAAGAGAAAGCCTGGAGGCTCCAGGGCCACCCAACGGCTTCAGGGAACGGCTGCTGAATTTTGCCCGGGCGGCGAGGACAAGGCTGGGCTCTTCGCACGGTGGGAACAGTTGGCCGATGGCTGCGGGGCTGCCGCCGGTCTCGCGCGTGCGGTTTTGACACCTCGGTAACTCAAGCGCATTCAGGAGGGTGTCTGCTGATTTACGTGCCCTCCCAGGTTACCGTGGGAGGATAAATCAGATTTTTAAGCCCTTGTTTTAAACCTTTCACTAGCCTGTCCCAGACCAGACCCCGCTAAATGAGCTCAGTCGCTTTAGGGCTCCA